CACAAAATTAATAAGTACCCCTCCCCCTATTGAGGTTTATTTGCACCTCCCCATATTGAGGTTAATCCCCACCTCACCCTATTGAGGTTTATTTGCACCTCACCCTATTGAGGTTTATTTGCACCTCACCCTATTGAGGTTTATCCCCACCTCACCCTATTGAGGTTTATTTGCACCTCACCCTATTGAGGTTTATCCACACCTCACCCTATTGAGGTTTATTTGTACCTCTCCCTATTGAGGTTTATTCACACCTCACCCTATTGAGGTTTATTTGCACCTCACCCTATTGAGGTTTATCCCCACCTCACCCTATTGAGGTTCATCCCCATCCCTCTCACCTTTCTCCAAAGTCCATTGCTTGTCTTTTTGTTAGGCCTCAGGCATAATCCAAAGGTAGAGTGTAACCATATATCTGTGAAACAGTAATAACTAAATAAAATAAATATGTCTTTACTGCTATTTAGTTTTTGTGTTATTTCATGGTTATAAAAAGGTTTGCAATCTTTTGTAAAATAACAAAAAATACTTTGTAATCATTATGTAATGCAATGATAGTTCATTTTAATGTGTCCAATCATAATTCAATCTTTCCTTTTTCCCCAAAAAAAATCCATTTTGGTCCTTTTTCAGTTCAATACATAGAGAAAATTTTACTTCAAGAAATATCTCTCAGCCAAAGGAAGGCTTTTGTGAGTCGTGTGTTACTGTCATGTTAGCATGCAGGAAAATATAACAYGAATACCAAAATGGCCCAGACAAATTCATTGGAGTCAAATCACTCTCCTCTTATTAACCCAATTGCTGTAGGCTAAGATGCTATCCTATTTTCACAATTTTTTGGACTTGGGAGAAATTCTCTTAGATAATTTGAAACATTAAAGTTTATAATCAATGAAATCCTTCATCAACAATAAATTATAAAAAGAATGCAGTGGTGTGAAATCACCAATAACTTATTTCCATTCTTGTTTATATGAGTGTGCAAACAAAAACACAATGAAACGACGCAACAGACAACACAAAGAAACTGAAACAAAAACACAAAGAAACAAAAAAAACAAATAAATACAAATAAAACACAAACAAGGAAAATCTAAAACAAAAGCACAATCAAATAAATACAAGCAAACTATAAAGAAACAAAACAAGGAAAAACAAATCAACACAAATAAGTAAATATACAAACACAAACAAACAGAAAGGCCAAAATGACAAGGACAAACAACAACACAAAGAAAAACAAACAAACAATTAAAATCTAGCTACAAAAAAGAGGAGAAAGCATCAACCAAAAACTAAAAAAACTAACCATAATATTCATTCTTTGTTACATCACAGGTTAAATGCCAGGAACGTGATGCCAAGCAACGCTACATGGACCAGATCAACACTTTGACTAAGCAGCTACACCCAGCCATTGAAGAAGACTCTGCACATGACATCAACTATGTTGTTAAAACTCTCAATCGACGATGGCAAGACACAAGTGATAAACTGGACCAGTGTAGAGACCTTGAAAGACCTTCATTCCATGAGGATTGTTGGYTGGTGRCGTACATCAAAAATAGTTTGACTGTAAACAAAAGAGCCAGAGAAGTGCACTTCAAATAACCTGCTTTGAAAACCTCTTGGTTTACTGGTCAAACATGTAAAGCACTCAAGTGAGGCACCAAGGTAYTTTCAAAGGGTTATTCAAATTTGAACCTTGCAGCCTCAATTGAATGCTTTGTATTTGACCAGTAAACCCATGTATGGAAAATGATGAATAGTCTTTTTATATAATTGTTTTGTCTTTAAACAACAAAGGTGGATGTAAAGACGCCTTAACTTGTGATGAAAAAAAAAATGATGAACATAAAATGAAACTGAAAATAAAATGTATGTGAAAATAATAAGTCTCAAGGAAAGTATTAATTCCTTTACATTAACAACTCCAAAATATAATCTCTATAAGAATCTTTGGGACTTTGCACCATCACATGATGGCAACAATATAATCATTTTTCCCAGGGAACTGAATTATTTCTCGTGTAAATTAGATTAAACCAGATTCTATTGTTCCTCCTGTAATAACTGGTGATGGTGTAAAGCCTATATAACCTATATACCCCTTGCACTGAGTCCCAAGAGGAATGGTTATGGGAGACAAAACAATTTGGTTTTTTTTGCATAAGAAAAGACGACCTATCGTTCTGTCCCCAAAACAATTCCTCTAGGAAAGCCTTCCTGGGATTTTTTCCCCAGAGGGAGTGGGCATATTAGAGGCTAAGGCCTAAGGCAAACGTCGAACTTTCCATGCACCGAACTCATTAAAAACAACAGATATCAGGTGATAATGAGGCGGCATTCTTTGATGTAATTATGTTCGGTGCATGGAAAGTTCGATGTTTGCCCTAGGACTAAGAGCTTAATAAATTTTCCTGATTTTTGGGGAGGGGGTCTGAAAAAAATTCCTCCGTGGGGATAAGGGGAGTATGGATAATTTCTGGGACTACACATTCCTACAATATCATTACATCATTTTATATTTTAAAGCAGACTTACCCAGAATCATCACATTGTGCTGCATAAACTAAAAAAGAAGAAAGGACAATTTAGAATCTGGAAAAAAAGTTCATTTTATTACAATACACTCAACAAAATTACTCAATTCTGTTTGGACAATAGGAGTACAATTAAATCCCAAATTGTACTCTGTAGAGTCCCAATTAAGTTGCTCAATTTTGTTGAGTGTATTATAAACAAAAAAACACCCAATGTAGTGGCAGTAGTAGTAGTATAGGTAATAACGAGGTAATAACACAGTTTATAGAGTTCAATTTGGGATTATAAATTTCCACGTGTATTTTTGGAAGAGTTGAAATTCAGCTCTTTGAAAAACACACGAGTGGAAATTATCCCAAATTGTTACAAATTATTACTTATCAATAACATACATTAAAAACAAATTACAAAAGACTAAAGAAAGAGACGTAAATATTTAACGCATAAGCTTAGTATTTTTTATGAAATCCGTTCGCAACCAACTATGTTCAAAGCGATTTTCGTTTCGAATACATGCAATTTAAAGACTTTTTTACCTATTTTAAACGAAAAATTGGCTATATCTTTATTATGAAAAGTTTTTTTTACTGTTTAGTAAATCTGAAGCACTAGGAATGAAGACATTTGGATTGGCTGACTGCAGCAAACTGGAGTTGTAACACTTATATTGAAAAAAATTATACCTACTGTAACAGCTGTTGAAAGTGTTCAGAAAGCTTTGCGGCTCTGCTTGGGATCTTTTAGACCAAAATATTGTGTAAGCACTTACCATATCGTGTTTAATGGTCTTGCTCATAGTCTTTTTCGTTTCACTTTTCGTTTTTGTTTTACTTCGGCAAAGAATCGCTCGAGTATTTCATTTCCCTCAATTCATGTCATACTTTGTTTTCTTCTCACTATTTCTTCCATATATTCAGCAATAAC